TGTTCCAAAAACACACTTTCTTCGTTGACGTAAAATTTCAAAAAATCATAACTTCCTTCATTTTCATCAAATAAAAAAATAAAAAAATACGTATTTCCTTATTTTTCATATAGATTACGAAAAAAAAAGTTTCGGATAAAAAAAAAAAATTTTCAATGAAAATTTCCCATAGAATGCCCTATATATTTTTATTTTTTACATTGAAAGGATTATTTCTATAATATTTTGTTCCAATTATCTTATTTTTATTTATGTTACAAAAATAATGTTTTTTCATTTTTTTGAAAGAAGTAATAAGAGAAATAATTTTGGATAGAGGTCTGTGAGACCGCTAAAGCAGTTTAAAGGTTAAAATTATCGAATTTTTATTTAGCAGAATTTTATAAAGTTGATTTTAAAAAAATAGCTTAATTTCAATATGGATAATTATTTAAACTTGCAAATATCTCAAAAAGTACGCATTTTCGTAAAAAAAATATACGAAGCTGAAGTACACAACGTTTATGATAAACGATTTTTAAAGAAATAATTTTTTAATATGAAAAATTGTATAATTTTTTGCCTAAAAAATATTTTTTTATAATTTGTTAATTAAAGCCATGTGGGAAATACCCACGTGACCCCCATGCAAAAAACATGGTATCGTATTACCAAGTTTTCTCTAAAATGGTAAAGAATTTTTGGTTGAAATTTGTAAAATATGATAGAGAATAGCATTCAGACTGGCGCTGTTCTCGGTTTGAAGCAATATTTTGCGTTTAAGTATTAAAAATAAAAGTTTGAAAATTCCCATTTTTGAACGAAAGTTGAAGTCAACATAGCGGGGGTACACACAGACGTTGCGTGAATGTATCAGTGGTCCAGGAACTAGCGCCAATTCGAGTTAGTGGCCGCTCAAAGAAATAACAAAAACCCATTAATTCCACTATTAATTACTTTTTAAAATTATTTCGCATTCAATTACAGTAAATAAGTAAAACGACCCAATTCCTTCAACCCTTTTTTATCATTTATCAAAATTTCAACCCGAAATTTCTTTTCATTTTCAAGAATACTTGGAACTACCAGAAAGTGTCTTTGTCTCACATGGCCTTAATGAAAACTACAAGAAATATTTTTTAGGCGAAAAATTATAGAATTTTTCATTTTAAAAAATTAATTCTTTAAAATCGTTTATCATAAACGTTGCGTAATTCAGCTTCGTAAAAATATTCAACACAAAAGTTGTTCTCAACAAAAATTTTCAAAATGTTCAAAAATAACCTTTTTTGAACTCAAAAAATAATTTTTAACGTAAATTGCAGCTTAAAATATTTGTTAGTTTACGAGATTTGCAATAATAAGAAAAAAAATTTTAAACTGCTATATCTTAGGTTCTAATAATCGGATTAAGGTTTACCTTTTTTTTAAAAATATCAAGAAAAATGAGAGGAATAAATCTTTTTCAGAACAATTTTTTATATTTTTACAACTAAAAAAATTTTTAAAAATTAAATAAATTTCACGCGACAATTTAAAATTTAATCACTTAAACGCTAAAATGATCTTACCTGTGTTTTCTTTAATGTTCCAAAGGAATCCAACTGTAAGTGCAAGTTTAACTTATTTAATTTTAATAATTTACTAGTATAAAGAATTGTGATTTCTCAGTTGACGTGCAGACGACATTGCGCACGCAGCATTCTCCTGTAACCAGCTGACGTGATTCGTGTACTAAATTGGCTACGTGAGAATGTTGCGTGCGCAAATGTCGTCTGCACGTCAACTAGCAGAAATCACAATTGTTTATACTCGTAAATTATTAAAATTAAATAAGTTAAACTTGCACTTACAGTTGGATTCCTTTGGAACATTAAAGAAAACACAGGTAAGATCATTTTAGCGCACAGAAAAAACTTGGACTCATTTTTGTTGCAACTCATTTTCTTTTGGGTATCGAAATGAGTATGGGACAAACTTCATGTTATTCAAAATGATATTGGCTGGAATTTCAGATTTCTAAGTTGGCATCATAAGCAGAGTAATTTTGTATTTCAATTATTGTTTCTAATATTTCAACAACACCAGAAAGATTATTTTGACCAGTACGAATATTTAGAAGTTTTTAAATAAAAATTATTTATTATTATTTACGTAGATAATAATTAATTTCATAAGTTTTTAAATTTACCGCTATTATTTAAGTTGGCAGTACCGTTCCTGTTGTCAAAACACATGTTTTCATTTTTCTAACCTAAAAACATATTTCCTTTATTATTTTATTACGCGATTACAAGCAATTTTTAATCAAATATATTAAGTCTAGCGTGTTATTTACTTCTTTGTAATTATTATATTTCATGTTTTTGTGCAAAATTATTCGTTATTTCACAATATTTTTCCATTTTTCTTTTTCTCAAAATGAAACTTGCCTGTTTCATTTTGATACTTTTACCTTAGAACTCGAAATGAGACAACCAGTTTCATTTTTGTTGCGAATCAAATTGAGTATAGAATCTATACTCAATTTGAATTCAGGTTTTTTCTGTGCGTTTAAGTGATTAAATTTTAAATTGTCGCGCGAAATTTATTCAATTTTAAAAAATTTTTTTAGTTGTAAAAATATAAAAAATTGTTCTAAAAAAGATTTATTCCTCTCATTTTCTTTGATATTTAAAAAAAAGGTAGACCTCAATCCGTTTATTAGAACGGAAGATATAGCAGTTTAAAAATTTTTTTGTTATTATTGCAAATCTCATAAACTAACAAATATTTTAACCAAGCTAAAGTACGCAACGTTTATATGGGTGAATCTCTCGAAAAGGACAAATGCTGAATTAAGAAAAAAAAAAAAAAAAAAGTTCAAAACCACTGTTATGACTATTGCTATGTGAAGAGAAGGACCTAAATAAGTCTCTAAAATACGTTGTTACGATCTTTATGAACATTATTGTTTAAAAAATAATTGTTTAATATAAAATAATTGTTTAATATTTTGTCACCGATACAATGATCGAATCCGTTTAAATCTTGTTACTCGAGGGTTTTTGGGGTCGCTAAACACGAATCCGGTGTTAGTTTTTCAAAATTCAAAATGACAGATCCAATATGGCGGACGACAATTTCAAAAATCAGTCCAATTTACTTGAAAATGGTTATTCGGGGGTTTTCGGGGTCGCTGATTACGAATTTAAGGTCCGTTTTTAAAAATTCAAAATGGCGGACGACAGATTTAAACATCCATCCAATTTACTTGAAAATAGTTACTCAGGGGTTTTTGGGGTCGCTGATTACGAATCTGGAATCAGTTTTAAAAAATTCAAAATGTCGGACAATTATCTTTTAAATCTATTTAATTGGCTTCAATATCGTTAATTAGGGGGTTTCAATAACGGTGAACACAAATCTGAAGGTAACCCAAGTAACCATTTTCAAGTAAATTGGATTGATTTTTGAAATTGTAGTCCGCCATATTGGATCCGCCATTTTGAATTTTGAAAAACGGACCTCAGATTCGTAATCAGCGACCCCAAAAACCTCCGAGTAACCGTTTTCAGGTCAATCGGATCGATTTTTTAAGTTGTTGTCCACCATATAGGTTCCGCCATTTTGAATTTTTGAAAACGGACTTCAAATTCGTAATCAGCAGACGAAAATCTTGAAGGAACGATTTCGTTTGATTTTTTTAACATTATTATTCGATAATATTACATGTTCTTTTTTTTTGACATGGCCCCCTTTGACCCCCTGTAATTCCGAAAGGGGGCATATGCTCATCTTGAAATTTTGCAGGGATTATTGGGTCATCATATGTTACCATTTGGCATAAAGAAAGTTTCAAAATTCGAGGTACGAAAAAGGTGCATTTTTTTGCATGAGGCTTTATAATCGATGGATGTGACTAGCGATCACGGAGGGGAGTTTTCTTCCTTTAGGCGTAGCCAAAATTTATTGATTCTAATATAAAAATAATAAATTTTATAAAAAAAGTATTAATAGTATTCGCGATATTTAAAAGAATATTCTAAAAATTATTAATAATATTTATTATTTATTTATCAAAAAACTAAATTTAAAGTGGTCACGGAGGGGAGTTTTTTTGTGTCGACGAACATTGCGAAACTGAAAATCTTTCTGACACTTATTGTTTTCATTTCTTTCATGATGTTGTGTACTGACCAAAACAACATCGTCACTGTAAACACTTTTGAATTCTTCATTTCTCAATTATCATTTTTTTTTCATTTACTCATTATATTTGTAATTGGTCACGGAGGGGAGTTTACTTTGCGAACAAAACTTATTTAATTCTAGGAAAAAATATTTTACAAATATTCTGTTTTACACTTTATAAATCAATTATAAATAATGTAATTAGTAGATGTTACTAGACAAAAGATGTTTTCCTATTGCAGTATGAATGCAATAATTCTTCTTTAAATAAAACTTACTTCGCGAACGGTAACGGAGGGGAGTTTTTACACTATATAAACATGATTATATTCAATTATTTAAAATTGTCAATTTTTTTTTATAAAATCTTATTAAATTCTGTTGACTTCTATAATAAGGCCCGCAACATTTTCAATTATTATAATTATTTATTAAAAATAATGTCATGAACGTGTCATTTGTCCTTTTTGTGAGAATGACCCATATAAACGATTTTTAAAGAAATAATTTTTTAAAATGAAAAATTCTAAAAAATTTTGCCTAAAAAATATTTTTTTATAATTTGTTGATTAATGAAAACTACAAGAAATATTTTTTAGGCAAAAAATTATAGAATTTTTCATTTTAAAAAATTATTTCTTTAAAAATCGTTTATCATAAACGTCGCGTACTTCAGCTTCGTCAATATTTTAAGCTGCAATTTACCTTAAACATTAGTTTTACTATATATAAAACAAAATTCCAAAGTTTCATTGCAATCGGTTAATCTACTCCGAAAAAGTGAATATCTCACTTGGAATCGCACTAGAGTTTTTGTATTTTTTTTTTTTTTTTTAATTTCAACTTACCCATTTCGACTTTTCTTGCTATCGTGACTTGTTTCAATGTCCACATAAAGGGAACTTGGTGGATGTGTATGATTTGAATTGTGATTGTCCATATGATTGGACATACTGTCATGATTATTTTGTTGATAATGGTGATGAGACTGATGATGTGAGGAGTGCAAGGCAGTTAAGTGGCCGGAATTAGCCGATGGTGGTGTCACACGGGAATTTGAGATCACAGGACTTCCACGTAAACCCGTTGAATGATTTCCATTGGTTCTGCCGTTTTCCAGCGGCTCTTCTTCTGTAAAATAGAAAAAAGAAGAGAAAACAATTTAATAAAATTTAATCAACATAATTTTTCCTAAAAAAAAAACAATTTTTTTTTTATAATTCTATTTTCTGTAAAAAATTAGTTTCTTTTTAAATTTTATTGCGCAGAAAAAGTGAATTTATCATGAGGGAGAAAAAAAATAGAATGAAAATCGTATGGAATCATTTAAAGAGAATAAATTTCCCCCCCCCCCTTGCTGATTTATTTAAAAGAGAAGCTCCTAGTCGTCGTCGTCGTCGGTAAAAGGCAGAATGCGATTCCTGACGTTCCACGATGCAGACGTTCCGCGATTTCTCCCCTCGCGTTGTTCATTCTATATACTCTATAGAACTGCGAACTTGAATGGCCGAACCTTCTCCTAAGATTAGCGTTGACTTTACGCGATTCTCGCAGTCAGGAATTTGCGACAAATAGAAAACTTCCCAAAAAAAAAAGGTTTTGCGAGAGTTTTATGAATGCACCGCAACGTCTCGACGTAAACGAAATGAATATATGTATTATTTCTTTTTTTGTCAACGTATTTTCGGTTAATGAAATTTATACTAAAAACGGAATATAGAAAAGTATATATTTTTTTTAAATAATTATAAAAAGGAAATTAAAAAATAAAAACATTCAGTTTCAAAGAATGTTTTATTAAAATTTTATTTTCTTCAATGTGACGAATTTTGAAGAAAGGGGAGAAAAGAAGCAAAAAATTGTAGGTTATGTTAGTGATATAAAGATAATCTATAATTTTTTGCTTCCTCTGTCTTTTTCTTCAAAGCGCATTTCGATTGGTCACACAACTCAGTTGTTATTTAAGTATAGGGTCGTTATGGTAACGTATAGATAAGAGTGAGAGAAATTAAGAATGTTTTTACTTTTTTTCTATTTCTCTCACTCTAATACGTTAACATGACGCGACCCTATACTTAAGTAACTAATCTGTGGTCGTACCCTTAGTGACACTCCACATGAGGTGTTTTTTTTAAGTCAAAAAGAATTTTAGGTTATGTTTACCCAATGAGAAATAAACCAGTGGTTTAATAATGGCTCAATAATGGGAGCTTAAATTGCGCATCTGATGCACCAAAATTTTTTCCATGTAGTTCGTCAAGAAAATGATACACGAAGAGAAATAGATGGTAAGAACTTATGATATTAAGATGGTAAAAAGTAGATGTTATCCGGTACTATCAAAGATGTTACAAAAAGTATAGTTTATGTTACCCACTACAATCAAGATGTTACTCCGTACAATCTGGATAGTACCCCGTACCATTTATTTCTCTCCGTGTACAAAAATTTTATTCAATTCATTTCACAACGTAATTCCATCGGAGTTCCAAAGAATTTCCGATGGAATTCCGATGGAAGTTCCGGCGGAATTCTGATAGAACCTCCAGGGGGCACTTTCCGGGGAATCTTTCCAAGTGGGTAAATTGTAGTCCGATTTTTAGCAGTGCAAAAAATAAATTCTTTTTCGCAATATTTATATGCCAAACAACAATTTTATTAACAGCTTGTAAATTGTAATTTGATACAGCATATATATATGGGATCTTAAAATATCTTGTCATTAAATTTAGAGGGACATTTCGTGAATAGTTATTTTTCATTGAGACGAAGCTTCTTTTTCTTCTTCTTCTTCTTCTTCTTTTTCTCCTATACATGTACTACGAATGGATTGGGGTTTTTGAAAAATCGTTTAACAGTGTCTTGCAAGTTTTATACTTGCGGGAACACTTTCGCGTATGTCGCTATAAATTAACGCAGCACGTGCGATGTACGCGCCTGCAGCTAACTCATTCATGCACCAAGTCTTGGCAAACCCTTTCGGCTTTCAGAGTTGCATAGCTCGATGATGCTTCCTAAGTCTATTTCCAACTCAAAGGCGCGGTCAACCGGAGCAAAGGGGCGAGAGAAAAAGAGAGAGAGAGAGAGAAAAAAAGAAGCACAGAGGAGAATGAAAATCGTTACTCTCGCCACCCCTGTGTGAAAACTGATTCACTTTCATGCCAAAGCGACACATACACACATATACACTTTTAGAAGTTTGAACACACAAAGTCATTCTTATGCGTCGCGTGATTAGTATGTGATTAACACAAAGAAAAAAAAAAAAATTTGATTCCAATAATACAGGCCAACAAAATTAGAAAATTTCTTTTGTGCGGCAAATGTCAAAGCTGTTTCTGATATAGGTTTTTTCATGCTAAAGACGAATCCGTAAATGAAAAGTTTCTATCAGCTCTAGTTTTTGAAAAAAACGGTTTTAAAATTCCAAGAATTCGCGTTTTTTGTCAAACTTGTAAGTACCTTTAGCACTGAAACAAAAGGTCGTAGAACCTTCCACTTGGGCTTAAATTGAAGTTTAATGTTTCATCTATAATCCCCAAAAACCACCTTTTCTTATACATCGTGACCTCAAAGTCATTTGTAATCCATTTTTGAGTAGCAAAAATTAATTTTGGAATAATTTCAGTGCGTACCTTCAGCGATGAAATAAAAGGTCATATAACCTTTTTTTGGGGCTTAAACTAAAGTTTGAACTTTAGAGTACAATCCCTGAAAATTAATTTCCAGCACCTTAACTTCAAAGTTATTGGTAATAAATTGTTTAAATTTCAACAAAAGAAGCTGTTTTTACAATGGTTACCAACAATTTTAAGGTTATTGTTGCATCAATATAATTTTTAGGGATATTGTAGTCTAAAGTTTAAACTTTAGTTTAAACTTAAATAAAAGTTTATATGGCCTTTTGTTTTATTGCTAGAGGGACGCGCTCAAATTTTTCTAAAATTAATTTTTGCGATTCAAAAATGTAATACAAATGACTTTGAGGTCATGCGGTGCCAGAATGGCGCTTTTTGAGGATTGTAGTAAAAATATTAAGCTTCAATTTAAGCCCAAGTAGAAGGTTCTACGACATTTTGTTTTAGTACTTTATTAACCCTCGGAGCACACACCTCTTTTTTCGAACAAGTAGCACAGTCTGGGTCGCTGTGACCCTGTTTACTTTACAAAACTCCCCCATTTTTGAACTATTGGACTGATCAACACAAAAAAAATATTTTTTTATTCATTGAACCTTGTAAAATAAGAATATGCAGTTTAGAAATATTATTAAATTATTTGCATATTGAAAAAAAATTCGTGAAGTTAACCCAATCAAAAATTTACTAATGGCGCAGTATTGGCGCAGTACTGACAAATACTGGCGCAGTACTGGCACCCAGTATTCGCGCCAGAGTTGGCGTAACTTTGGGATGATAACATTTTACCAGTATTGGCTGCCAGAGTTGGCACCAGTATTGGTAACCACTACTGGTTCAGTACTGGCCGAGTACTGGCAGTTTTGTAATTTATTGTATACGAAAAGAAAGCTTCAACTGTAACAGAGATAAGTTTCACTGCAGGTAATACTTTTTTGGTATACTTAGGAAAAAGTGTCTGAAATTTTTACTAACCTAACACAAATTAAATATTAATTAAATTAGTCAACTAACTAATTAATATTTTATTATATAAAATCGAAAACACCAAGAATTTTCATTCCTTATAATATATATTGCAAATTATTATTTAAAAAATCAAAAAATAAATATAAAAATATGTTTATTATAAAACCAAACTTTTTATAATATATAAAAACACTTTAGTAAAAATAAAAATGTTTATAAAATAATTATAATGTATATAATTATGCAATTAACTATTTAATTATTTTATTATTCACTTTAATTAATATTAATTATTATATAAAATATAAATAAAGAAGAATAACATCCAGAAACAAATTACAATAATTTTATTGACCATTGAAATGTATAAGTTTGTAGGTTTAACTATTTTTTATAATTTCTATTAAGAAAGGTTAATTGTATATTTTATATTATTGATAATATAACATTTGTGCAATTTTACTTGCGATTGTATTTAATTTTGATGAACAAAATATTTAAACAAAAAGATTCATCGGGTTCACTCTAGAACTTTTTGTAAACTAGTATTAATCAAAAAGAAAATTTATTTGAGCCAGTACTGGCTCAATATCGGCTCAGTACTGGTTTGCCAGTACTGGAAGGGTGGTACTGCACCAGTACTGATACAATGAAAATACCAGTACTGGTTCAGTACAGACTGCCCAGCCTCGGCAGCCAATATTGAACCAGTACTGCGCCAGTAGTCAACTCTGGTATAATACTGAAATTTTTGGTTGGGAACTAATTAAAAAGAAAAAATTGAATTTAAAAAAAAAATGTAACTTTTGTAATTTTTAATATTTTAAGCTAAAAATTGGGATTTATATTCTCGAAGTGTGTTAGAATAAGGGAAAAAATACCACCTTCTTTTATTTTTTAAAAAAGGTATTTATTTTGTAGTTTAACGAAGGTAACTTTTAAGACGATAAAAATGTGATTTTCGACACAACTTTTTAAAACTATACTTTTTTAATAACATATTTACTAGTATTTTATTATTTTCTTTGGATTATCATGTTACTTATTATTCCTTATTAGTTAGTTACCACTATATGGCCTTAGGTTCGTGTTGTATTGCCGACTTTTCAAATTACACTTCATTGAAATTAATGACAGGGTCTGTGTGACCCAGTATGTGCTCCGAGGGTTAATATATTAAATATGACAATAAAAAAAATATTTATTTATTATTTCAACAAATTATTTAAACGAATAATTGTTATTATTTACTAACTTTTTTCAAATTGCACTTAGAAAGTTGCAGTTTTTTTTCTAATTCTGCAATTTATCAAGCTTACAATGAAAAAATATTGAATCATTATTGTAATAATTGTTTAAAGTTTAAATAATTGTTATTATTTACTAACTTTTTTTAAAATTGCACTTAGAAAGATGCAGTTTTTGTTGTTATTTTGCATCTTTCTAGTTGCAATTTGAAAAAAAGTTAGTAAATATTAAAAAATTTATTTGTTTAAACAATTTTCAATAATACTTGTAACAATT